GTTCGGGTAACCATGGGAAATATTTAACAACATTTCAAAATGTTACAATTACCATTTATATCATCAATACATTTATCAAATAACTACGACAATAAGAACCTCATAAGGGGTGTGTGCAAGTTTCGGTGTAGAAATGGCGATTCACAAAATAGCATCCAGTAATGTCGATAGGAATTTTAACCATTTACTAAAATGTATGCAGACAAGAAATTTATATTAGCAACAAGATTTGAATTAGACATGCATAACAATTTGACTAGATCAGTCTCGTTGTTACAATTACACAAAAAGGCTCTTAGTTTTCCCCGCAACTGTTTCTACCGAAGGTCGAAGTCTGTTATATGTGTACTGTCGATTGCGCGAAGCGATAATTCACCGACTGTTCAACATATTTTCACAAGTTTTATCCTATTTATACACTCTCACATTGCTATCTCAGAAACACTCTGATGTATCAAAATTACTTGACAAATGTTTGGGTCATTTACCGCACTAGGCCTACTTCAAAACTACGTAAATCAGATGAAGAGCACTTTGCAGTGTATTGGCAAAAATGTTGCATGTACATAGAAAATCAATCTAAAGTTCGTCAAATCTATGAAAAAGATGCGATTGCGGCTGTTTCCTGTTGACAATCTTTAATGCTTTTGATACCCACCAGCGGTGTAAATTACCGCCGTGTTCCATTGAAGTAGTGGGATTAGATACATAACAAACTGAGTGTATTGCTTTACAAACCGGTAGCACTGTGTTCTGGCCCACGCCTGAATTACGCTGAATATGCGTATAAACATGCTGATCCATGTGTGATTGAATATACACAGATCAAAAAGACATTTTGTATCAAAAAGAATGGACCGCCGTTTTAGATAGTTTGCTGAGAATTAGTATGGATGGCACATATACAGTCTGTATGGTTATCAAGCCTCTGCCATCTTTCAATAACATCACCGCTAAAAATCTGTAATTGCTCGTCTAGTATAGAAGTGTGCAAGAGAAAAATATTTTTTATATGACATTAAAAAGATAATTCTTTAAGAAAAGAAAGTAATATAGGAATAATTTGGAAGTATATTAAAAAGTCGAAGATTCTGTTTAAATTCTCTGTCAAAATTATAAATAATACGGAAATATCTCTTATTTTTAAAGGTTATATTTATTCGACAACGTTTGCTTTACATTTGTTCCGTTGAATTTGGTATAAACACAGAGACGAAAAACAGCATCCGACAGAAAAACATCCATAGAGTTCAAGACAATGTCAACACGGGAAGATAACTCTTGTGTGTCCTTTTACGGTTTAGTATATTTCGCAAGCATGATACTAAGCTTTGTGTCATGAGACTAAGCTGTGTGTCATGATACTAAGCTGTGCGTCATGATACTAAGCTGTGTGTCATGAAACAAAGATGTGCGTCATGATACTTAGCTGTGTGTCATGATACTTAGCTGTGTGTCATAATACTTAGCTGTGTGTCATGATACTAAGCTGTGTGTCATGATACTAAGCTGTGTGTGATGAAACTAAACTGTGTGTCATGATACTAAGCTGTGTGTCATGAGACTAAACTGTGTGTGATGAAACTAAACTGTGTGTGATGAGACTAAGCTGTGTGTCATGATACTAAGCTTTGTGGCGTGAGACTAAGATGTGCGTCATGAGACTAAACTGTGTGTCATGATACTAAGCTGTGTGCCATGATACTAAGCTGTGTGTCATGATACTAAGCTGTGTGTCATGAGAGTAAACTGTGTGTGATGAAACTAAACTGTGTGTGATGAGACTAAGCTGTGTGTCATGATACTAAGCTTTGTGGCATGAGATTAAGCTGTGTGTCATGATACTAAGCTTTGTGGCATGAGACTAATCTGTGTGTCATGATATTAAGCTGTGTGTCATGATACTAAGCTGTGTGTCATGACACTTAGCTGTGTGTCAGGAAACTAAGCTGTGTGTCAGGAAACTAAGCTCTGTGTCATGATATTAAGCTGTGTGTCATGAGACTAAGCTGTGTGTCATGAGACTAAGCTGTGTGTCAGGAAACTAAACTGTGTGTCTTGATACTAAGCTGTGTGTCATGATACTAAGCTTTGTGTCATGATACTAAGCTGTGTGTCATGAAACAAAGATGTGCGTCATGTTACTAAGCTGTGTGTCATAAGACTAAACTGTGTGTCATGAGACTAAGCTGTGTGTCATGACACTAAGCTGTGTGTCATGAGACTAAGCTGTGCGTCATGAGACTAAGCAGTGTGTCATGAGATTAATTTGTGTGTCATGATATTAAGCTGTGTGTCATGATACTAAGCTGTGTGTAATGGCGTTCTGGTATAATGTATCCCAATTCCTGGCATCGACGTAAACTATTATTATTTTTTTAGTAAAAAAAACGAAGAATTTTCTTAAGTGACTGGGATCCTTAAGTATAACAGCCCTTGTAAACAAGAGCTCTAAAGGTCATAAAACGCGCCAAGGTAAAATTAGTAAATGTTCGTATATCAGTTTTATCCTGATATCGTGCGTTGTAAATACAGTCACGTGTTACTACGAACCTGGGTGGCTATATCTTTTCTTTTTCTAACTTTGTCATGAATTGATAATATAAATTCATTATAAGCGTTAGTTTTATTTTAACTTTTTGATAACAATAAGTTAGGTTTTATTGCCGATATCCCGTGATAAAAATAAATATGTAACATAAATATCCAGTTTTACGACGTTTCAAAGATGTGAGTATAGGATAGCGATTCTCGATCATAAATATTTTACTAAATTAATATTTTATGACTTATTTATGTTCTAAATTGTCGGTAAGATTGAGTGGTGTAATAATAAACCCATAACGCCCAAGTTAGGTACGGTATAAGTGTATTATCTTTAAATAAAATCTTGATATGATATTTATGATATTTACAAAATAACTGGGTTTATGGTTCCGTTACGTAATGATAGAATTGATCGTGACTAAACAATCGTTTCCTGGAGTTAGAATACATCACGATTCTACCATTACCACGGTATCTGATGGGTCTAAGACAGATGTCAAGCTTACCCCAACCCGTTTCAATGGAGCATCGTCTCTTCTAAGATGTTTTCCAATTTTACACAGTCCCTCGTATTTTCTTCTTTTGTTCTTCGTTTTGAATCAAATACTATATATCTTATTCCATTCACAACCATCCATCACAGGTTTATCCAAAAACATGCTCGTATTTAATTCAACATCCTGTTTCGTACTCCATTCAACGCCCTATATCGTATTCCATTCAACGCCCTGTATCATATTCCATTCAACGCCCTGTATCATGTTCCATTCAACGCCCTGTATCATATTCAATTAATAACCCTATATCGTATTCAATTCAACATCATATATTGTTTTCCATTCAACGCCCTATATCGTATTCAGTTCAACGCCTTTTATCGTTTTCAATTAAACAACCTATATCGTATTCAATTCAACAACCTATATCGTATTCAATTCAACACCCTATATCGTATTCAATTAATCACCCTATATCGTATTCAATTAATCACCCTATATCGTATTCAATTTAACACCCTATATCGTATTCAATTAATCACCATATATCGTACACAATTAAACACTCTATATCGTATTCAATTTTACTGTATATCATATGTCGTATTCCAACACCGTCCATCGTATTTGAATCTCTGTCCCATGTTATTTAAATATTTCGTTTACAATTAATCCGTTCATATGTATTAAATTCAATCAATTCAATTTATCAGCAATTTCAATGTAACCTATCGTATTCAAGTCCTAAGACACCAAACTTACTCCTCAGACGCTTGACTGTAATGGGAACCGCGCGACAATAAATATTTGTTTTATGATATGCATTACACAAGTTCTCGATCGTTATTGCTGCAGGCTATACATCTTCTTGCTATTGCCTTCTCTATATGCGTTTCTAGGATATTTGAAAGAGGGGGCGAAGTAATAAAAAATTGGACCATTTTTTTGCTAAAAAACATGAAATAATTGTGAATTGCAGTAATGTAACGGTTCCCGACTTGGATCATGTATATTTTATAGTTAAAATTTCAGGGTTTGACATTTTTTATGCTGAATTCTCTCCATTAATTGTCTATGGTATATTAAAATGATTGGATGGATCTTAACAGCAGTAGACCAATAACGAGAAATTCCAAATTCTAGGGTATAAGGCGTTACTTTTAAAAAACATTTCAATAGTCCTAGGCCAGAATTTTATGAACGGGAGGCGTAATTACGGTTGCCCTGGTAGAGGGTCCATGTTCTTTTTTGTTTTTGTTTTTTTNGGGGGCGTACGCCCATTACGCCCTCACCTGGACCCGCCCCTGACTGTTTTTCTGTTAAATCCTTTCATTACAATTGTACGGTTGTCGCGTTACAACGTTAGCGGACATCAACCTCATCTATCCGGCAATATGTTAGACAAAGTAATATTTGTCTACTGTATAAAACAGGACAATATAAAAAAAAATTACGCATGTTGGTGATCAGTTATATGTATCTGTTGTTGTTCTCATTATAAAACACACAAGGACTTTTTTTTAACTTGTTGTAGTTTATCTGGCAAAATGATAAGAGTAGGTACCTACATGTATTATCTATCATAGAAAATAATTAAAATGTATCGAAAAGAAAATTATTTTATATAGGCTTATAGATAATCATTGTGTAATTTACCTGTTGTGAAAACTGTAAATATACAGAAAAATATCGATATATTGCTTTCATTTCCCCAGAGAAACTTGGCGTTATAAAAGAAGACATTTTCCGATACATAAATGGAAATACATAAAGGAATTTTCAGAAAACAAGAATGTTGAAATACGTTGACCTTGGGTGAGGTGGCAAATGGAATGGGGGATAATCGAGGTTTTGCTGTTTCATTTATGTTGTGTAACTTCTCATTAAGTTGATTGTATTTGGGAATAATTTTGGTCTGACAGGTATTGAAATAAAAGGAAAGACATTTGTACTCACTTGCATTGATATCATGTTAATCCCAGTTTTCTTCTTATCAAGAACTCCAAAAAGAATCGTCGCAGTAATTAACACACTGGTGAATCTGAAAATGATAAAAAGAATCTGACAAAACACGTACACATTGATTGTTTCACAGTTTCTCATAGAATTTATTAAAACATATCAAGGCAATGCAACTTAAAATATCATAGTTACTTTTAATTGTCGTCATTTACTTATTTTTGTTTTTGCGTTTCATAACCGATAGCAGTAAATATGCTGTGTCACTTGGTGTCAAAGGGGTGGGGGT